TCCATGTATCGTGGAGGACAGCCCAGTTTCCATTTGCACATGAGCGCCTTGAGGTTCAGAGTTGGGGACAGAGTCAGAGGTCCTTCCTGACCCTTCTGTATGCAAACTCCTCTCTGCTGCTGTTAAAACAGTAGGAGGGGCCAAGGACAGTGGCTCACACCTATAATCCCAGCACTCTGTGAGGCTGAGGTGGGTGGATCATCTAAATTCAGGAGTTCAAGACCAGCCTGGCCAATATGGTGAAACCCTGTCTCTACTAAAAATACAAAAATTAACTGGGCATGGTGGCGGGTGCCTGTAATCCCAGCTACTCAGGAGGCTGAGGCAGGAGAATCACTTGAACCCAGGAGGCGGAAGTTGTAGTGAGCTGAGATTGCGCCACTACACTCCAGCCTGTAGGAGGCGGCTTTGAGGGCTAGGTCTCTCTCAAAGGCAGTAACATCTAAATGATGCTTAACTTAAATTTTAGTAGCTGAGAGGATGTCTGTATCCATGGATGGGCCTCCAGGGGTCCTTGATCCCCATTAAGACACAGGTGACATATTGTGCATGCCCGTATGTGCATGTTTTCCATCAGAGCAGGTCTGCGTGGGCCTTAGTAAGCTTAGGCGTCTCAGCTTATTAGGAGAGAACTACCTCCTTTGTCCTTCAGATTCTGTCTTCCCAGAACGTGGCTAATTCCCTCTTCCTAGTGCACCTTTGGTTTGGATTCATAGAGAATTAAACTGGAATCTATTATTTATTGGAGCACAAAGAGCTGCCGGGTGGATTAATCACACTGATAAGAGCAGTTGGTTGGTTGAAGGTGGTTTCTAGCATCATTAACCTTGACCGCTCCTGGAGTGATGGGTGGATGGAGATATGCATTTGTGTCGTCCACTCTCTGGAAATGTGCATCGTAACAGTGCGTGGGGCACTGAGCTGTGTCTGGAGACAGTGTGTATTGAGCATTTACCGAAACCACAGGGAAGGTTACACTGGGAAAGTTATGACCTCATCTTATTCCAGCAATGCAGCCAGTCCAGTCCAAGAAAAGACACGAGCTGTTGAGAACCCGCATCACAGGGGTCTGCGTATGTGTCCCAGGGCACACCGGCAGAAACACGCCCCTCTTTGCACCTCCTTCAGACACTTCCTAGGATTGCTCTCAGGCGATAAAACTGCTGGGAAACAGCAAACAGGATTTCCAGTGTGTCTTCCTGGGAATGAAACAGGAACGAGGCTGAAGAAAGAGAAATGGGGCTGTATTGTATAGGGCTTTGAGAGTTAGGTGTGTACGTTTGGGTTTAACCCTACACTGTGGCCCTCCAGGGAATGGTCAGTCCAGGGCAGTGGGCCAGAGGTCTGTCCTACAACAAGTGAAAGCAGAAATTCCCAGCCTCTAGATCTGAATCTGCTGCTGGCTTGTAAACTCTTATCAGTCCTACCCCTTAGCAAGCTTGAAATATGAAATGTTTGCATTTCAAAATTTGACTTTTGCCTGTAATTTCAGTGTTTTGGGAGGCTAAGGCAGGAGGATCACTTGAAGCCAGGAGTTCAAGAGCAGCCTGAGCAACACAGCAAGACCCTGTCTCTACAAAAAAAAAAAAAAAAAAAATTTGTTTTAATTAGCCAGGTATACTGACGCCTGCCCGTGATGCTAGGTACTCAGGAGGCTGAGGCAGGAGGATCACTTGGGCCCAGGAGTTCAAGGTTGCAGTGAGCTATGATCACACTACTGTACTCCAGCCCAGGCAACAAAAAAGTAAATAAAAATAAAAATTTTGATTTAATCTTTAACAACAACTTCATTTTTGAATGAAGACACTGAGACTTAAAACACATGCCCTTGATGTTTCTTAACCTCTCTGTGCTTTCGCTTTTATGAGCATTTTATGCACTTTAATTCTCACAGCTCTATAAGGTAGATATACTTACCTGGCAGGGGAGATGCTGTGATCACGAAGGTGGTTTTCCCAGGGTGAGGCTTATCCATTTCACTCCGGATGTGCCAACCTTTGCAGTTTCCCCAAATGTGGGAAACTTGACTGCATAATTTGTGGTAGTGGGGGACTGCATTTTTTTAAAAACTCTATAAGGTAGATACTAAGATATACCCAATTTCCAGATGAGAAAAGGGAAACTGAAAGAGTTTAAATAACTTGACTGGAGTTGGACAGCTCCCACACAGGATTTGACGGGGATTTGAATGCGTGCCATCCCAGTCCAGAGTCTACTACGAACCATGGTGCTGTCTTGCCTTTCTAGGTAGTTGATCAAGCATATATCCACCATTCTGCCACCTGCTCTGTGACCACCGCCTGGGTCTCAGTTGGATGGAAAGGTGCTGGTGCCCTTCCCCTCACCTTCAGCACCACTGCCTTCAAAACTTTGACAAAGCGAAAAGCTGCCAGTCATCAGGGTACATTCTGGAAGGTTCTGCCACGTGTATCTTTGGTATCACAGATCTCTTGCTTTGTCTCCAGGAGAAGAGGTCGGTGCTGGTCATCTTGTGGATCTTGGCCTTTCTGGCGGGGAACACCCTCTATGTGCTTTATACATTCAGCTCCCAGCAGCTATACAACAGGTGAGCATGGGAGTCTGACCCCCACCATGGGAGAGTGGGGCACTTGGCTGGGCTTGGGGCACTTAGCTTTCACTTTGGAACAAGGCACGAGCTCTATGTCACATTGTAACTTCCAAATTCCACCCTGCTGTTACTACACACATATACCTAGACCACACTCAGTAGTAAAATTCAAGGCAAGCCACATAGGTAAACTAACAGCTTCTAGTTACCAAACACTAAACAGAAGCAAGGGCAATCAATTATAATACTTGATTTTATTTAACCCAGTATATCCAAAATATTTGGGGGTTGTTTGTTTTTGGTTTTTTTTTTTTGAGACAGGATCTCGCTGCATCACGCAGGCTGTCAGTGGTGTGATCACGGCTCACTGCAGCCTCGACCTCCCTGGGTTCAGGTGATCCTCCCACCTCAGCCTCCCCAGTAGCTGGTACTACAGGTTCATGCCACTACACCTGGCTAATTTTCATATTTTTTGTAGAGATGGGGTTTCCATATGTTGCCCAGGCTGGTCTCAAATGCCTGAGCTCAAGAGATCCACCTGCCTTGGCCTCCCAAAGTACTGGGATCGATGATAGGTGTGAGCCACTGTGCATGGCCCCAAAAGATTGTCCTTTCAACATGCAATCAACATAAAAATCATAAATGAGATATTTTACGTTCTTTTTTCACATTAAGTCTTTGTAATCTGGTATCTTTGTAATCTGGTATCACGCCTGTAATCCCAGCACTTTGGGAGGCCAAGGCAGGTGGATCACCTGAGGCCAGGAGTTCAAGACCAGCCTGGCCAACACTGTGAAACCCCATCTCTACTAAAAATACAAAAATTAGCCTGGCGTGGTGGCAGGTGCCTGTAATCCCAGCTACTTGAAAGGCTGAGGCAAGAGAATCGCTTGAACCCAGGAGGCAGAGGTTGCAGTGGGCCGAGATTGCACTATGGCACTCTGGCCTGGGCAACAAGAGTGACACTCCATCTCAAAACAAACAAACAAAAGTTACTGTAAGGCAGGCTCAGGCAGTGCCTTTCAGAAGAAGGCATTGCTGTCATAGGAGATGACAGTTCCGTGTGTGTTACTGCCCCTGAAGACCTTCCAGTGGGACAAGATGTGGAGGTGGAAGGCGGTGATATTGATGATCCTGACCCCGTGTAGGGTGAGGCTAAGGTGTATGTTTGTGTCTTAAGTTTTAACAAAAAACTTTAAAAATAGGAAAAACCTTATAGAGTAAGGATATAAAGAAAGAAAATATTTCTGTACAGCTGTACCATCTGTTTTAAGCTAAGTGTTATAAAATACTAAAAAAAATAAAAACTAAGTTTACAAAGTAAAAATGTTACAGTAAGGTAAGATCAATTTATTATTGAAGAAACAAAAGTTTTAAAATCAATGTAACAGCTAGGCGTGGCAGCTCACGCTTGTGATCTCAGCATTTTGGGAGGCCAAGGCAGGAGGATCACCTGAGGTCAGAAGTTCAAGACCAGCCTGGCCAACATGATGAAACCCCATCTCTACTTAAAAAAAAAATAACAAAATTAGCCAGGAGTGGTGGCAGGAGCCCGGAGGCTGAGGCAGGAGTATCACTTGAACCCAGGAGGCGGAGGTTACAGTAAGCCAAGATTGCATCACTGCATCCAGCCTGGGTGACAGAAGGAGACTCCATCTCAAAATAAAATAAATGTAGTGCAGCCTACATGTACAGTGTCTGTAAATTCTACAGCAGTGTATAATAATGTCCTAGGCCTTCACATTCATTCACCACTCTCTCACTGACTCACCCAGAGCAACTCCCAGCCCCGCAAGGTCTATTGATAGTGTCTTATATGGGTATACCTTTTTTATCCTTTATCGGTATTTTTACTGTGCCCTTTCTGTTTAGATATACAGATACCATTGTGTTATAATTGCATACAATATTCAGTACAGTAACATGCTGTATAGGTTATCTTTGTAACCCGAGAGTAATGGGCTACATCATTTAGCCTAGATGTGTAGTAGGCTGTGCCAGCTAGGTTTGTGTAAGTCAGCTCTGTGATGTTCACGCAAGGACCGAATCACCTAAGGATGTGTTCCTGAGAACATGTCCCAGTCATGAAGTGATATATGACTGTATTTGATTTTCCCTCCAATCTGATGAATGCAACAGCTTTTAAAAGTTATTTTAGGCCTGGCGCAGTGGCTCAAGCCTGTAATCCCAGCACTTTGGGAGGCTGCAGTGGGCAGATCATGAGATCAGGAGATCAAGGCCAGCCTGACCAACATGGTGAAACCATGTCTCTACTAAAAATACAAAAACTGGCTGGGCATGGTGGCAGGTGCCTGTAATCCCAGCTACTTGGGAGGCTGAGGCAGGAGAATCACTTGAACCCAGGAGGTGGAGTTTGCAGTGAGCTGAGATCACACCATTGCACTCCAGCCTGGGTGACAGAGGGAGACTTTGTCTCCAAAAAAAGAAAAAAAAAGTTATTTTAATGTATGTATGTCTTGTGTGTGGGGGGAGGGGGAACAAGGTCTTGTTCTGTCACCCAGGCTGGAGTGCAGTGGTGTGATCACACTCACTAAAACCTCGACCTCCCAGCCTCAAGCGATCTTCCCACCTCAACCTCCCAAGTAGCTGGGACTTCAGGCGCAGGTTACCATGCTTAGCTACTTTTTTAATTTTTAGTAGAGATGGGGTTTCTCCGTGTTGCCCTGGCTAGTCTTGAACTCCTGGCCTCAAGTGATCCGCCCACCTCAGTCTCCCAAAGTGCTAGATTACAGACATGAGCCACTGTGACCGGCTTTTTCTTTTTTCATTCATTTATTAATTCATTCATTTATGCCTATACTTTTTAAAAGTCCTTAAAGATACTCACTAAAACAGAGCTTGGCAGACTACAACCATTCACCCATTTTTATTAGTAACATTTTGCTGGAACACAGCTACATCCATCCATTTACATATCATTTATGAGTTCATCTGTGCTCCGACAGAGTTGAACAGTTATGGCAGAGACCATATAGCTCACAAAGCCAAAAATATTTACTCTCTAACAGTGGTCCTCTAGATGTTAAATATGTGGGTAGGCCAGGTGTGGTGGCTCACTCCTGTAATCCCAGCATTTTGGGAGGCCGAGATGGGCAGATCACTTGAGCCCAGGAGTTTGAGACCAGCCTGGGTAACATGGTGAAACCCCATCTCTACAAAAAATACAAAAATTAGCCAGGCGTGATGTCGTGCACCTATAGTCCCAGCTATCCAGGGGGCTACCTGGGAGACTAGGGTGAGAGGATCACATGAACCAGGGAGGTCAAGGCTGCAGTGAGCCATAATCGCACTACTGCACTCCAGCCTGGGTGACAGAGTGAGATCCTATTGTTAAAAATACACACACACACATACATACACACACACACACACACGCACACATGTATATGGATAATTTTTTTTTCTTTAGAATCATCTGTATTTTATAACTGTTTGTAATGGGCACTTTTTTTTTTTTTAACACAGTAATAACAATGATTTTTAAATAATGTTAAGTAAGGCTGGGCTTGGTGGCTCAGGCCTGTAAATCCCAGCACTTTGGGAGGCTGAGGTGGGCAGATCACCTGAGGTCTGGAGTTCGAGACCAGCTTGACCAACATTGAGAAACTCTGTCTCTACTATAAATACAAAATTAGCCGGGCATGGTGGTGCATGCCTGTAATCCCAGCTGCTTGGGAGGCTGAGATGGGAGAATCGCTTGAACCCAGAAGGCAGAGGTTATGGGTGAGTCAAGATCATTTCATTGCACTCCAGCCTGGGCAACAAGAGCAAAACTCCCTCTCAAAAAGAAAAAGAAATTAAATAATGTTAAGTGATAAAAATGTCTACCCCATCTGGTTTGAGCTGTGCAGAGATAAGGTAACAGGCCTTCTTGCTTCTACACCCAAATACATGTCCCATGACATGGGTACCCTCTTCCTCTGTGACATTGACTCAGTTCTGTGCAGTGTGGTGGCAGGTGGGAAGGCAGAGCACAGGAAATTGAATGGATTACTTAGCCCCAACTTATCATCAACTTCCTTAAAATATCCCTGTCACCCTGGCAGCTGTGCACCTGGAAATTCTTTTGAAGCAGAGATGCTTCCTCCACCAATCTGCCAACGTAAACGAAGCAGGCAGAATCTCACTCCCATGAGCATCTCGAACGGTCCACAGTTTTCCTTCCTGAGTTCCTCAGGGCTGCTTGCCAGCCTTCAGTTTTTTTAGTGAGTTTGTTTCCCCTGGTGCCTATACAGTGCTTAGTCCATAGTTGCTGCCCCATCAATATTTGTCAAATAAATGAGTATCTCAGATTTTTTAATTTTTTTGGAGACACAGTCTTGCTTTGTTGCCGCAGCTGGAAGGTAACAGTGGTGCCGTCATGGCTCACTGCAGCCTCGAACTCCTGGGCTCAAGCGATCCTCCCACCTCAGCCTCCCAAAGTGCTGGGATTACTGGCGTGCGCCACCACACCTGGTCACAATTTTTAGAGTTACTTATTTTTCT